TGCACAGTTACGGTGTCATTGATACTCATCTATCCATGAACTGCACCAATTTTATCTTATCGCACAGTTTTGATAAATTTCATGGGTAGGTTAAATAGTGTGTCATAACCTGTTTTACTAAAACATTTAAGAATGATACTTAGAGTTGCTTAAGTGAGATAGTTCTAGAATAGCTGTCTGCTCCTATAATCAAGCCTGTGGCATTTAACAGTGAAACCCCCATACACACCTACCCTAAAAACATTTTGAATTGAATTATAAAGTGATACACTATGGCTGTATCACATTCATAGATGCTACTAAAAGAAACTATTTCAAGCCAACAGTGTCATCAGTATTTCAATTACTTCTCATAGCTTTCAGAAAAAGAATACCATTCAGAATAAAATTATATATTACAGCTTTTAAACACTTAATCAAAACTGAAGCCAACAAATATACCTAAAGAACACTAAACTTGCCCCATGGGCATTTTTAACTCCAACATTGCTAAACAAATACAGAGTATTTTTTCCCCCTTTCTCATGTATGTTACTCGCATTAAGTCACAGAAAGCAAAGAATTTTTTTAGATGGCCGACAGCAGCACCATCTACAGTTTGCAGCAGCCTGGAAAAATTTTTAAAACCTGTTGAAAGGAGGCAAAAAATTCATCAGTATTTGCAAAGAATATGAAGACCTTTTAAATTTATAAAAAGATGGTACATTGGGTCACCTTATTTGTCCTCCAACTTTTCCTGGACTCCAACTCCAAACTGGTTAAAATTCCAGAGTTCTGTGACTAGAACATGTAGAATAATGCCATAAAACAGGCATTAACTGTCAGGTAACTCAATTTTTAAGCACCATATCAGTAGAAATCCTGAACTACAACTCTCATTAACAATTACAGATTTTGTAGACCAGATTACCTTGTTCCAGACAACCATCAGACTTTTTTTTAAGTATCAAGCTGTAAAAACAATGTGCTAATTAATAAGACAGTTTCAGAAGTCTAGGCTTACCGGAGTTGGAGGTATTACATAATTTCTTTGCTCTCCAGGAAGCCACTGTGGTTGAGCCTTAAACAGAAATTGGACAAGAACCACCATTCATTCATTTCCAACACAGACAAGTAGGAGCTACTGTTGATAGCATTTCATGTCTGTACATGAAATGTACATTTCATTTACAAAACAATTAGTTGAATGAAATAAGCTATGTTATGCATTAATGATCTCCTCACTCCAAGTTAAAAAAAATTAAAATATTTTTAATATTAGTAAATTAAGGGAAACAAAAGTACTTGCATTGAAAATAAATCTCAAGCCTCAAGCTGCTGCCAGTTACTCCTAGTTTAGCATCAGTAACAGGACTTGGCCACACACTTGTGAGTTCAAACCCCACTATCAGTTAAATGCCTTCTCTCGACGATTTTAGCAAGAGCACATTTCCCCCCCATATCAATCATTCTATCATCTGATAAGATCCTGATTCCAAGTACATAGAACCCCCACAACAGCATGTACACATGCAAAGTTCCCTCCCACAAGTACTACTTATCATGCACTTTTCTAATTTGAAAGTTGTTTTATCACTATATATTTAAGAAAAAAATAATGAAACTATCAAAAGAAAACTATACACTAAGTTACTCAACAGTTTTCATCACTATTCTGTTTTAGCTTTGGTAGCTGTGAAGAAGTGAAGGAAAACAGATTTCAAAGAATGAGAAGCATATCAAGAGCAGACTCCAGTTAACACTTCATTCCAGTTTTGTCAGGTATCCAACAGCCTTTCTGCTTCTACTAAAATTTTACATACCTGATAGTTGTAAGCCGGTTGATACCCAATGGGAACTTGCTGCTTTAGCAGTACAGCTGGTGATGAACTGTATGGATAGGGCTGCAAATAAAGTGTTTTTTTTTTAAAAAAAAAAACAAACCACAACTTTGAAGCAAGATACAAGTATGATATTTGTATAGATATTAGCCAGGAGCACATTTTCAAAAGTTACACTGTTATTTCAATTCCTGTGCAGACTAGACTCACTTTTTAGAAGCAACCCTTAGATTTCCCACAGGGCTTGCTTCAGTACTTCAGGCACTAATAA